CTCACGTCGCTTTTCTCGGTTCGTGAGATTTCTCAACACCCTGTCAACCGCGTCCGCGAAACGTGCCATGGCGCCGTCCCTACTCCGCGTCCTGGAGGCGTCTCGTCTCTGTCCCACGAACAGCGGCATGTCGCGTCCCACAACCTCCGGTTCGTAATCGTTCAAGTAGAACTCATTGCCGGTAAACGAACATCTTCTGACGTTGTGGTCCAGATGTTGGATCGCGCAAATTCGTTCGTCGGCTGCGCAGACGTGGACCCGGAGAGACTTTTCGCATACGAAGTGTGTACCGTCCTGCAGCGGTTCCGCGAATCCGCACGCATTCGGCACGCATTCGTGAAGTTCGTCGACGTGGTAGATGTTGTACCGTTTCGCTCTCACGTACGCGTTGAGCGCTGCCGCAGCCATCTTTCGCATTATTTCTCTAAATTCCTTTTTTTAAATATGTTTTCAGGCTTCCAGAGGAACTGGATGCGACCTTGGTTGGATGGACGAATACCCTTGGATGAAGCAAGCGGCGATGATATTCGGTTCTGCTCACGTCGTCGATGACCTCCAGCGAGCACTGGTCCCAGGAACTGGTGACGATCAAACACGAGGGACGACCTCTCGTAAAGTACATAACGCAATCGTACCTGTGCGACGCCTGCTTCGAGAGAGGCGTCCGCAAGGTGTGTCCCCACCGGAGGCACCTGGTGCCGGAACACATAGACGGTAGCGAGGGGAACGTGGTGCAGCAGATGATGAATCTGATTGCGAGCGGATGCTACGAGCTGGAATGCATGGGCATTCCCGTCTGCTCGCCTTCGTCGCTCGCAGAACGTCTTTTCTCAGGAAGGTTGTTCTCCCGGCTGTTCGACGAAGAACGGAGATCCGGCAGGAGATCCGGATTCGCATCCGGTCTGCTGATCGCCGTGGATCCCACGCCGTCGGACGTGTCCGGCATAGGTCTTGTCGCAGGGGCGATGACGTCGGACGGCAATCTCAGACAGGTGAGCCTCACGGGCGGTATCTTGCAAACCCTGCTTCTCTTCTCCGTTATCCTTCTCAGCGCGTACGTCGCGTGGTTTCGCGGACCTCGGCAGATCGCGGTGCCCCGTTCGCCGGCGTCCGCGTTTGTCACCCGCGTCTGAAGGACGGACACGGCCACGGCCATGGGCAAACCTCCGATCGAGTTCCACAGCGGCTGATCGTAGCTGTTGGTAAGCAGCTGGTCCGCGAGGTTCTTCGCGCTATCTATTATCCAGTGTCTTTCCTCCGGTTCCGAATTCCTGTACTCGGTTTCCACGCCGGGCACGTACACGAGGTTGGCAAGCTCGAACGACATGAGCACCGTCTTTTCCAGGTTGGCGATCTCCTCGAGCCGACCGATCTCCGGCGAGGTGGCGGCCCCGATGGCGGTCAGGGCGTGAATCAGAACCGATCTGCTCGCTCTGAATTCCGTCATGTCCTCCACGGTTGCGTTCGCGTCCATAAAGTTGTCTCTGCCGCAGGTTCTCGTAACGAGCTCGCCGTGCGACAAACCCGATGCGTTTATCTCGGCCGTTATCGCCTTGGCGTCGGTCTCCCTCTTCCATCGGACGAAGAGGTCTTTGCGTTCTCGCAAGAAATCCAGGTCGCACTCCACAGGATGGAAAGCTCTCCTCAACATGTTTTAACGCGAATTAGTTAAAAACCAGAGAAGTTGCTCCGTTTTTATTAACACCGTTTTCTTGTCTCTTTCGCAGATTCTAGCTCTGAAGCACGTGGTCGCCACAGTCGACCGTATGGATTCCTTGTTCACAGTCGACCGTATGGATTCCTTGTTGGTCGTGCACGCAGACCTCGTCGTCGACACCGTGAACGAAGTCCTGTCCACGTACCGAACGCTGATCAGCTGGCCCGTTCGCGTGTA